CATGATGGAGATGCCACGTCCAGTGTGGTCCCAAATCAACCACAGTGGCACCAAATTGATGCCAGTCCCTCGGGCTGCTGGCTGAGGTGCATTTTCACTGGCTCCAAAACCCAAGGTGGCCAAGAGGTCCCCAAAAAGGGCATGGTGGGACCAGGGATGGGCACAGGGTGATGCTGCAGCCTGGGACACTTGTGTCTTCAGGATGCTCCTGCTGGTTGCCTGGTGAGCTGGGCCACGGAGGACAGCTCTAAAATGGCGACATTCACCCTTGACCCAGCCTCTTGGGACGTCATTGGCACGTCCGGAGATGGGCAGGTCCTGGTTATCACGGCAGATGTGTAACCAGCCTGGTTGAAACCTTCATGCCACCTGCGGATGTTTCCCCGTCACCGCCGGGGATCGGTGCAGCCCCAGCCCCGTCAGCAACAGGCTCCGACCCCAAAACCTGCCCGGCCATGGGAGCCCACACGGGCGCAGCCAGAATGCCTTACTCACAGCCCTCACGTACCAAGCTGGTGACTAAAGCCTGGATCAAAGCGCCCAAATGAAGGAGCGCAGTTTACATCCACCCTTTCTTTCCAGGCTGCTTTTAATTACGGTGCCGCCCACGGCTCCCCGAAACCCCAGCATCCCACAGAGCTGCAATCCCCACCCGGCAGGTGGATGCTGGGTCCCGACACGATGCCACAGCGGGGAGTGATTTTTTGGCAGCAGGATGTCAAGCTGGAAACCTCCCCAGCCGGGCGATGCAAGGGCTTTGGAGCAGCCAAACTGCTAACGGCTGCTCCGGAGTTCCCTTCCTAACACTTCTCCTTCCCAAATTACACCAAGAAATCACCACTATACTCCTGGCAGCTCCAGAGCTCGTTGGATTGTTATCTTTCTTGTTTAAGAAAAGCAAAAATTTGTCACAGAAAAGGGCAAGTTTTGCCTCCTGCCAGGCTGCAGAGTGAGTGCCCGCTGCAGGACAGTGGCTTCCCACCTCCCACACACAGCTACTCCGAGGGGGACGTCTGCATCATCCCGACACAAGACCTCAAAAAGCATTTTCAGGGAAAGCAGCTGGCCTTCACGTCACCCACGAGCACCTGGGATCACATCAGGGCCAGCAACCCTTGTCCGCACCCGCAGGCATCGCCCTGGCCTTTGCTGGGGAAAAGGAGATGGGGCGCTTGAGTTTGGCAGCATCATTCTCCAGGGTGGTGTGAAATCCTCGGCCGGCGAAGGTGCGCGGAGGGCACGTGCCACCGGCCTCCCCGCAATACAAAGGCAACCGGCGGCCGTCTCCGCAGCTGCTATAATTAGATGTAAAAGGCAGATCAATACCCGTGTACTGACATTGGAACAGTTTTGCTCTCACCCGAAGCACTGCCATGGGAAGCAACATTAGCATAAAGCTCCTTTAGGAGAGTTTTTCAGTGGATGCTGGAAAAAAGGTCAGTTCTGGGTGGTGGATGTGACCATTAGCCAGCAAGCCCCAGGTTTTACTCTATTAGAGAATGACCACCCACTCGCCCTGTAAATGACTCTGCCCAAGGCATCCCTGTGGCCATGAGTGAAGTCACAGCCATGTGGGGCACAAACCCCACCAAAAAGCCCAAAACGTCGTGGAAGGGCAGGAGGGAGGGAGGAAGGACACGCTCCCGCCCGGCTGGCACAGGCTGCCCTTCGGCGCAGAGGCAGCGCTCCCACTGCGATTATTTATCAGTAGTGCCCAGCGGGACGATTGAAGGAGACGCGTCCAGAAGGAACCGGAATTGCCGGTTTTCTCGTGTTGCTCCCCAAACCAACAAGCTCCGTTTCCTTACCCAGCACAGCTGAGCAGCACCCTGACCCTGCCAGGCCTGAAATGGC